CAACAATACTTTACTAAACCATCATGCTAACTACTCGCAGCAGCAGCTTTTGGCTAGCCATCGGACAAAGATGGTCACCACATCACGTGCTTTCAGATGCGCTCCTACAACCGTCCGGAACGCTCTTCCTTCCGATATTAGAAAGCCACTGGAGCAATGCACTTTTACATATACAGTAGATTGACCACTTATTTCTTTAAAACTGCTTTTTCTATTTAGTTTGTTGTCCTTCTCCTGCACCTCCGATTAGCGTGGTTGGCTACTTACGGTGCGAAAGAAGTTAAACGTGCAAACTTCAAATATATACTGTAGGCGTCAGGGTCAGGCTCAAACCCAGGCGAGCGAGATAACATCTCACCAAAAAGAAATGGGAGCAAAAACAACTGCATTACAGAAAAAGTAAAAAAATCGTAGATAACATATCATTCCATGAACAAATGTTGGTTCGGACAAATTACTTTTCAAAACCGTTCGAAGTGCTGAGCTACAGAGGCATCAATGCCGATTGAGTGAGCTCAGTGTGGTGTGGTCAGTGACGGCTGCCATCGGTCACGTGTCACTGTGATTCCAAAGAACACAGGATGAGATGTTACTATCCTTTGTGCAAGCACTTCCAAGAGTTCATGAACAGTGAGCCTGGTGAAATTTGGGGAGCGCATCGTCAGTAGTGACCCTTTGGTTCCTAGGGTGTTTCGGCCTTTCATACTATACACCCTCCCCAAAGGCGGCCAGCGACAGGGTGATCAATCCTACGCTTGCGTCCCATTCCCAATTAGTCATAGGAGTTGCCTTGTTGTTGGTAGCCAACATCCCATGGGACTATGCATGGCAGGGGCGTCCTCCTCCCTGAGTCAAGCATTGTTGACTGCATACCTCCTGGCCCTCTCACTTTGGGGCCCAGCTGGGGTCTTTCCTCTTCATCCAGAGCCACTGACTGCTGCCTTCTGCCGCCTCCGATACAGCTTTGATTGCCGAATGCTGGCTCTGGCCCTTAATTCCCAGGTCTCTAAGCAGTCTGGTTGTAGATGTTGCCACAAAACCTCTGCAGCCCACCTCCACTGGTCGGACTTCTGTGTTCCAGCCATGATGCCGTGCTTCGGCAGCTAGATCGGCATAGCGCAGATGTTTTCGCTCATAAGCCTCATCTACTGAGTCCTCCCAGGGTACTGTGAGCTCAATGATGAAGACCTTCTTGAGCGAACGGGACCAGAGCACCATGTCAGGTCTTAGGGTGGTGGTTGCGATCTCCAGAGGAAACACAAGTTGCCGGCCAATGTCAGCTAGCATTTTCCAGTCGCGGGCCAAGCGCAGCTGGTCTCGCTCTATTGGTGTAGAGCCGCTCTTTGGTGGTTTAGCCCCTTCGCGGACAAAGGTCGTCCGTAAGGGGTTCGGACAAATTACTTTTCAAAACCGTTCGAAGTGCTGAGCTACAGAGGCATCAATGCCGATTGAGTGAGCTCAGTGTGGTGTGGTCAGTGACGACTGCCATCGGTCACGTGTCACTGTGAACAAGTTACAGTCGGCTCTCTTGTACCGCCGCGTGTTTTTATAACGCGAATTGGATACAACGCGATGAATATATTCGGGAACACATTTTTTTATAACGCCTGGGTCGGCGAAGCATCGTCACACGAGGCAGCGGGATGCTGCTGGATGCTTCTAGATGCTACCCACGCGCCTCGGTCTTTGTTCAGCCTGCGTACTCATCTCACGTGTTATCGCAGACTGTGCTTTACCCCTATGTTCTTCAGGAACGCAACTACTACCGCCACGTTATAGGAGAATAGACTACTTTTTACACGCTTTTATTTAACTCCATCTGTCTGTTGTTGTTATCGTATCCTCAAATCTTGTAACTCAATTTTAACCCACTTCCCAATGTGGTATCGACAAAAAAATTGGTATACTTATGTCATACTAATGACAATACTATATTCTATCAATATATATATTTTGAAACGTTATTTTTCTATGTTATGTTTCGGCTTGGGTCTAATTGTCCACACTCAACTGACGTTAGCTGTAAATCACCACGGCCCCTTATGTTATGGCAAGCTTCGGGGCCACTTCTTGCAGTCGTGGAGTTTTGCCATTACGAGTACGGTACATTTCATAAAAGTGTAATATGAGGACATATCCGGGTCGCTGTTGGATTACACCTCGTACGATGATTGGCTCTGCCGGTCCTGGCCCATAGCCAATGGGGAGAAGTCTAGGGGCGTGGCCCTGACGTAATTGGAAGGTGACATCTGTAAGTAGAGGATTGGTTCTGCTGGCTTTAGCCACAGCCAATGGGGGGACGAGTCAGGGGCGCGGTCCTGGGAGTGTACCATGGAGTCTAGAAGATTCCATAGAGGCTAACCAGGATTGGTGGAAAGGTACCACGTGACCCAGGTATTAAAAGGGGTGGAGACGAACAACACGTGGTCAGATCTGGAACGGAGGGTGAGGCCACGCTGGAGCGGGGTCCAGGCTGCCACGTGGCCGCGCGCGTCTCTCTCTCTCCCTCTCACGCTGTCTGTCAGCAGCGTGAAGGAGTAAGATGGGAGTGTTGTGAACGAAAGACAAATAAAGACCGGATTCCAGAAGTCACTTCCACGACCTTTATTACAAAAGCGTGTTTAAATTTTTTTTTTTTATATTATTTATAGTCCCAGTCTCGTCACTGGTCGAGACTCCAGAACGGAGGGGACACGTCGACTGAGGAGACGAAGCCACGAATTCTGGCCCCTTGCGCAGAGGCCGTGGATTCTTTCGGGTGGATGGTCGTGCGCGGGAGGGTGTTTACGTGGAGAGGAGGCCTCTATCGAGCAGGGGATTGATCACGGCTATCCATGATGATGGATCACCGAGATGACTAAGGACCGTCCATAATTGACGTCACGCGATTCAGGACGATATTTGACCCCCGCCCCCCCTCGTCACACAGCGTCACAAAAAGTCAGACCCCCCCTCAAATATGACGTCACAAAGCTCTGCCCCCCCCCCCCCCCAAAAAAAATGCTTCAAATCGCTTTAAACTATTGTCATTGTAGTGCGTATTTAATGTGGCGCTGCATTCTGATGTTGTAGGAGAAAACATTTATTAAAAAGTCTATTTAATTAAGTAAAACGTGTTTTCTATATTTATTTAAAGTTTCCCATTTTGATGTGACGTTACATTTCTCAACCCCCCCCCCCCTCGTCACACATCGTCACAAATGTCTGACCCCCCCCCCTAGGTGCGTGACGTCATTTATGAACGGCCCCGTATCCCCCCCTTGCCCCTTGCCTCACCCAACACGGTTCTGAGAAATAAATGTATGAATTAATTAACTTCAGTCAATATTTTAACCAATTGTCCATTTGGTTGTGAGATATCCTGAACTAGCGAATACATCGCGCGGAGTAATTTGTTCGTGCTCGCTGGTTCCGCTTGGAAACCAATTGTTTACGATAAACGAATTTAGAAAGGTCCTTTTTACGTCGATCTAGATTACCTTATGGATTTACACTTTATCGTAGTTATTTTATATTGCCAGATTCATACATGTATGAATCGTCACCAATGACTTCCACGTACGATATAATTTAAAATGTATAAATCACCTCGTCATACACCCCCTGGGACATTGCCACGTGACCCCCACATACCCCCTGGGACGTTGCCACGTGACCCCCACGTACCCCTGGGACGTTGCCACGTGACCCCCACGTACCCCTGGGACGTTGCCACGTGACCCCCACGTACCCCTGGGACGTTGCCACGTGACCCCCACATACCCCTGGAACATTGCCACGTGACCCCCACGTACCACTGGGACGTTGCCACGTGACCCCCACGTACCCCTGGGACGTTGCCACGTGACCCCCACATACCCCTGGAACATTGCCACGTGACCCCCACATACCCCCTGGGACGTTGCCACGTGACCCCCACATACCCCCTGGAACATTGCCACGTGACCCCCACGTACCCCTGGGACGTTGCCACGTGACCCCCACGTACCCCTGGAACATTGCCACGTGACCCCCACGTACCCCTGGGACGTTGCCACGTGACCCCCACATACCCCCTGGGACGTTGCCACGTGACCCCCACGTACCCCTGGGACATTGCCACGTGACCCCCACGTACCCCTGGGACGTTGCCACGTGACCCCCACGTACCCCTGGGACATTGCCACGTGACCCCCACGTACCCCTGGGACGTTGCCACGTGACCCCCACATACCCCCTGGGACGTTGCCACGTGACCCCCACGTACCCCTGGGACGTTGCCACGTGACCCCCACGTACCCCTGGGACGTTGCCACGTGACCCCCACGTACCCCTGGGACGTTGCCACGTGACCCCCACGTACCCCTGGGACGTTGCCACGTGACCCCCACGTACCCCTGGGACGTTGCCACGTGACCCCCACGTACCCCTGGAACGTTGCCACGTGACCCCCACGTACCCCTGGGACGTTGCCACGTGACCCCCACGTACCCCTGGAACGTTGCCACGTGACCCCCACGTACCCCTGGGACGTTGCCACGTGACCCCCACGTAGCCCTGGGACGTTGCCACGTGACCCCCACGTAGCCCTGGGACGTTGCCACGTGACCCCCAGAGGGGGTCCGCGTCGTTAACCCCCCAGTTGAGAATCGCTCCACGAACCACATCAAACTCACCCCTACCTAAAATGGCTACCCAACGTTCCCTTCGCACTGCCACTCACCCAAGATGGCGCATCAAGCCACACGCGCCCGCTGATTGGCTTTCTTTTCTACATTAACATAATTTATCATGAATTCCGTCGCGGATTTTATCTTATTGCAAGCGCGCGTCTCTCCGCCTTGACGGAGGTCTCACAGCCAATCGCGTCTGTCCTTACCTAAGATGGCCACCCGCCCCCATTCTTTCACTCCGTGACCCCCCCTCGTCCCTACCTAAGATGGCGCGCGGGGGGGCGGGGCTAAAGAAGCAACGTCACGGCTCACTGCGGGGGAGTCTCCCAGCCAATCGCGTGGCACGTTGCCTCTAAAGTGCAGAGACCGCGATGAAGGCGGCGGCATCGCGTGCGTGAGTTCGCGGGACGCAGCCGCCGAGCATGTCGCCCTACGTCTACGAGCGCCTCCTCGCCTCGCCCTGCCTGGCCGCGGGAAGAAGGCTAAAGCTGCGCGCCCTGGCCAAGCAGGACCGCGATCAGACGCCGGTGAGGATGACCACCACCCCGACCCCCGTATCACTCAAACCCCCCATCACCCTCACCTCCCCACGGGCTTAGGTGCCCCGATCCCGGTAGGGAATCCAGGCGAGGTCGACGCCTCGGCTCTTGGTTAGGCCTTGGCTGCCGGGGAAGGTGAACGAGGTCACGGGCTCGGAGCTCGAATTATTTCCGAGTGAATTAAAATTTGATCTCGCCACGATCTCGCAAGCTAAGCGGGGTTGAGCCTGGCTAAGTGCTCGGGTAAATGCGACCGACAGGGACGGAAGCCGCTGAGACGGAGCGGTGAGGTCAGTGTTGGTGCTGGTGGGGGGGGGGGTATCGTGATAACAGCGCTGGACCGTGAAGACTGGTGGCGGGGTGGGCAGGCCTTGAGCCAGCAGTGGATATATCGTGGTTGATGCTTGGGAAGGAGGTGTTATAGGCTCGGGCTATTGCGCTGTGGGTAGTTAGCTCACTGCTCTCGGAGCTCAACGGGCTCAACGGGCCCGAGTTTGATTCCCGTTCACGGTTAGCATCTGACGTGGAGAATATTTAACGTGGTCCTGGGTCTCCCACCGGCTGGCTCAACCTTAAACGGTTTCCTGTTACTGGAGATACAAAGGCGGCCACGTGTGGCGCTGTATCAGCTCGCGAACAGCCCCCAACGGCCTACAGACCCCGACGTGCACCTTGGACAGATATCGCAGTGTTAGCAGCACCCTCATGAGCACAACAGCCTTGAGACTAAGCGAGGCTTTGCTGGGTAAATAACGTGAATTGTTAACGTTATTTACCATAATTATTATTTTAATCACGAGCATGAAACAAAATCGATACGTTAGCAATGCCCTGAAATGCAATGGCCTTCACAGCGCAGAGACAATGTATTCTGTACGGAGCAGATGCGATTTTTTTTATTTTACCTGTAAAGGCTCAGCGAGCTATATAGATATTTTTCAGACGCGACCTGGTTATATCACAAATGATAGCGCGACGAGAAGTGGCTTCATCATCGCGTGGAAATGTCTCTCAGCTACATGACTCCAAAGATACAGGTGACCCTGGCTGGTTTATTAACCGCAGTGGGGAATTTTGGCATTGCATTCGATGAGTGATGGATGCTGCTGGTCTGGCCTCTTGTGAAAGGAAACCAGACAACCTTTGAACTCAGGCATCCAAGTATTTTATTTAACCAGATAACTCAAGAGACCAGGATAGACCTGCTAAGCTGAATGTAACAAGAGGGTCCACGTTTTCACAAGCAAGAGACAGGCATGCATGTATAATGCACGTGACTTGGGTGATTATCTCACTGTGTAATGAGCTCCCGTTTTTCCCTCCACATATTTAGAATCAACATCACGCGTTTAGAGTTTGGCTGCTACACGTTTACAAGTGATGAGAAGCCGCTTCGTCGAAGTATCATTTGTGGCCTGGTCGCTTCTGAAAAAGAGCTAAATAGTTCAGTTGGGCCTTACCTGGTATAATACAAATACATCGTTTATCGTAGACACTGTCCGGATGTTTCAAGGTTGTGCGATTTCCTCACACGATCCAGTTTGGTTAAACCCGGAATGGATCATGGTATCTTAGCCGGCCTGAATGTTAAAGGCCAGCGCAAATTGTTCATCTGAATGCGGGTCAGGTTTCTCGGGTGGAGAAAAGAGCGTGCACGCATATAGAGGATATGCACACGTGAATAGTACGTGGAAGAGTGAGGTTATTTGAATGAACGCATAGACAATGGCACGCACAACACGTGGCGTTGGGAATGTGAATGCTCATTTAAATGCAAAGCCACAGGGCGGATAAAACACGTAAGAGGTTGCACAGTGGGGGGGGAGTCTAGGGGGGGCATCTGAGAGTCACGCCCAGAGTCCAGTTCCAGTTCATCCTTAAGACCACGTGGGCGGATGTACATCGGGCTTTTTTGGGGCCCTAACAATGTAAAACATTTAAACAAACTCGAGAAAGGAGCCGCATGCAGAGGCGTGATGACTGTTCAGTTTCATTTCTTAGGTATAGCCCTGTGCAACCCTCCAACTTTTGTTATCCACTCTCGGTGTGTGCCCTGTGCTATGTTTGTGCTTTGAATGAGGGCCATTCCTCCGAAACGTCGACTAATGCTTAAATCTTGACTGAAAGCTTTCGTGACTGCAGGAATTAATATTCGTGGGTCTTTCAGTAAAGTCACGTGTAAAATCATGGGCTCTCCTCTGCCAGTACCAAAATATAAGAATAGGTTTTTTTGCAAACAAAAAATGTACTCTGATAATATATGCATTGTCTTTGAAACAGTTTCAAAGACAATGCATATATTATCAGAGTAAGTTTTTATGGTTTGCATTCTGACCACAAGTATTGTGGTTAATGCAGACATGATTCCTTGTCAAAGATTTCAGTTTGGTGTTTTAACATCTTAACACCAGTTTTGTTGCCAGAAAAAAGGGGAAAACCTATTCTTACGTAGATAGGTTCAAATAAAATAAAAAATAACAAAATGTTTCGATCGTAACGCAAGTGGTCGTCTTCAGGGAAAAAACTTTGAACCTTCAGGAAAAAACCTTTTTCAGGAAAAAACCTTTTCCCTGAAGGAAAAAACCTTTTTCAGGAAAAAACCTTTTCCCTGAAGACGACCGCTCGCGTTGTGATCGAAACATCGTAGTTTTCTATTATTTTTGATTACTTTCTTTTAACCTATCTCCGTGACTTTACCAAAAGAGCCAAGAATATAATGTGTGCTTTTTTAAGAGCGCAGTGTTTTTTGATTTAATGACTGTTAAGGGGCCATCTACTTAGTAGGAACGCAAAAATCTGTCACAACTTGATCCCCCCCCCCCCCGCACGTTTGACGCACCCCCCCCCCCCAATCCTATAGAACGGCCAATATTTAATCCACGCAGAAGCGGTCAAGGATTCATAATATTAACGTGTTTAAGCAATCAGATAGTCCACCGGCGGACTATCTAACGAATTTGAAGGCCAATGTAGGCAAATTATGATCAAGGCTTCACGCCCCCCCCCCCCTCCGTTTCCTATGCGTGAACCCAGTGGCCCACGTACATTGTCAGTAGACCCCCCCCATACGCAAGCGTACACATTTTGGTTAACCCTCCCCCCTCCATGCGTACGTACTAAATGGATGGCCCCTAACGGTTGGCTGCGGAGTTTCCACACCGCGCAGAAATGCCACACGGGCCAGGGCAGTCCCCGTCTCGTCCTGCGCTGCACAGTGACTACTGCTGAAGTTCTGCGGGATTGGACGTGCAATCCAGAATTGGATTGTGTTTTTGGTGGTTTCATTTGTGCTTACTGTACTGTACTTGTTTTATATTGCTTTGTATATATTATATAACAAAAGCAAATAGCTAATAAAAATTAACCATATATATTTGTGTGTGATAGGGTGGGCTAGAGGTAGTTGTAGCAGTTAGCGTTCTGCGCTATGAACCCGGTGGCCCGTGTTTAACTCCCACTCATGGCCAATGCCAGTGACGATTATCTGAACCAGTCCTGGGCCTCCACTAGGTCTACTCGGCCTCAAATGAGTACCTGGTGCGATGGGTAAACATCGCCACTCGGGAAACAACGGTGGCTGGCCAAGGGTGTAGGGCTGCTACGTGTATGTATGTTGAACTTCTTTCGTACCATACGTAGCCAAGCGCGCTAATCAGAGGTGTGTAACCTATCATCGTGTTCCCGCAGGCGTTTGTCTCGGTGCGATGGTTTGGCGCTGGGCCGTGGGGGGGGCGTCAACTGGGCCCACCCCCCCGACGTCTTGCTGCCCCCATTGCCCTGCCCAGCTTCCCCCATGGCTGCCCTCGGGGCCTCCGCTGCCTTCCCGAGAGACCCGAGCGTGAGTGCTCACCGCACAGACACGGGCAGTCCTATGCAGCCCCACACAGCCTCACGCAGCCTCCAAGTTGCGTCGACCACATGGAACAACCAAGTTGAATCGATTTATATAAACTAGGTTTTATTTCACCAGGTAAGGCCCCACTGAGCTGTATAGCGCTCTTTCAGAAGCGACCCTGACCATCACAAATGATAGCTCAACGAAGTGTGGAAATATTCTTGAAAACGCAGTGAAATTGATTCTTAATCTGGAGGGTAAAACCAAAGGACCTGGAGAAAACTCCACGTGACCACGGGGGGAGAGAGAGATACAAACTCCAAATATACAGGCGTCAGGGTAGGGATGGAACCCACAGTCTCCTGTATACCAGGCGAGGACGTTGACATCTAGCCGCCATGGCGCACCGCACAGTGTTCGCTCGCTCTCTTAGAGAGAGATAACGATTCGATGAGTGGGTAGGAACCGCAGGCGAGCTGGGAAGGCAGCAGCCATGCGGGGAGCGTGGTGCCACCAACAGTTGTCCAAGCTCTGTAGTCCTCTATATATTGAGGTGTTATAGGCCAATCAATGAGTGTTTACATGTGTGGGAAGAAACTGGAAGCCCACACATGCGAGGGGGAAACACTATATCCCATTCGGATGGGGCAGAGTCCACATGTTTGCTGTACTGCCTTCTCTTGGCGAGCCAGGGTATGGCTCCTTCCCAGCGCCCACGAGTAGGAATGTTCATGACGTTAGTGTGCGATCCACCAACCCTTGCTGCCTTCAAAGTGCCGCATTTCAGGCCACATGCAGAGCCACCAATCCGCTCTCCCCACAGTCCTCAATGCTATATTTTATCACGAACCACAATCGTGCCGTTGCAGTCATGTGAAAAAATACTCCCATTGGAATCCAGTAGTGTGGAGGCTACGCTGCCACACGTGGCGTGGCTGCCTGTGATCCAGCAGTTGTGAAGGCATCGGCAGCTAGGGCTTGGTGGATTGCTGCACAGATGTTGCGAAACTCCCTTCTGCCCGTGGACGTCAAGGAGGAGTAGCTGTACCCTGGAGAAGGCGGTACAACAAAAGTGTGCACTCCACCTGATCTCTCTGTGTGGATCGAGTGTTTCCCCCTCGCACGCGAGGGTTTTTTCACAACATGCAAACACTTGGCCGATAACACCTTAATATAGAGAGGACAGCAGAACTGAGGCAAATTGCTGGTGCTGGCTCATCGCGTGGCCGCCTGTTCCCACTTGTGCTGCGGTTCCTCTTAATGCCCGAGTGCGGCTGGGCTGCGTGTTACAAGTCGGAGTTATAACTAACTATTTTAACTACAGTAGAACCCCTCTTAACGACCACCCCTGTTAACGGCTAATTGCTTAAAGTCGAGCCTCCATAGAGCACAACGTGTTCGCTTACCGACCATTTCCCTGTTTACGACGGGTTGTTGTAGGTACAGTAAATATTAATTAATGCATTGATTAACCATGTTTCTTTTAATGTTGTTAGTATATTTTAATTAATATCCATTGTTTAAATATCAAAGTATTTTTGTTTGTGCTATCGGAATGAATTAAGCCTCTAACATGTACTTCCTGTACTTTAGAGGGGTCTACTGTAATTTAAATTTTAACAGCTAAGGCCCACTGAGCTATATTGCTCTTTTTCAGAAGCGACCTGGCCACAAACAATTGCCCAACGAAGTGGCTTATGACGAGGAAATTTATAGCAGCCAAATACTCGAAACGCATGTTTCTAGATGTGGAGGGAAAAAAACGGAGGACCCGGAGAAAAATCCACGTGACCATGAGGAGAGAGACACGCAAACTCCAATTATACAGAAGGCGTCAGGGTCGGGGTTGAACCCACAACCTCCTGCATGCCAGGCGAGGTAGTTAACATCTCGCCACCGAGGCACCCCTCGAGCAATCATCGCCCCCCCCCCAAAACCTGGCAGGACCCTCCTAATAAAGAGTCGTAAGACTCGTGAGGCTTTTAATCTGTAAACAGGCGTCGTAGTAATTACAATGCAGGAATTATAAATACAATGGATGCATTCCTGGAAACCTCGTCATAAAGTCACTGTTAATCGGGCCCCATTTTCCCATAGACAGGAGAAACAGTAGAAACATCACTTGCCGATGTGTTTTTTTTTTCCACGGCAATTCACGTCGGAAACCAGCGCGGCTGTTCAAATGCGTTCGGAGTCATGTCGTGTCGGAAAACGCAACGTAAATTTAATTTCTGCATCGGAAATGGATCCATGGTGACATTGTACAAAGGTCGTAGTTGTGGAACCAATTTAAATCGGACCGGAGACCACCCATCTGTATGTTGAACTTCTTTTGCACTGTATGTAGCCAACCGTGCTAATAGGAGGTGGTCAGCATGGCCCACAATGGTTTATTACGCACAGTAAACACACAGTTGCAAGGGACCCTTAACCAGAGTTAATTGTTTATCATGGAAGTGTCTGGGGGATAGTAATTAGGCAATGTATCAGTGCATCTTGATTAATTATTCTTGGTACTGGTTAAGCCCCTCCAGTGAGCTGCAGATGGAGGCTGCTGTGCCAGAACAAAGGGAGTGTTTGAGATCATCACAGCAGGGTTTGTGTGCCTGTGTTTGCTGCAGTGAGGCCCCTGCTGTGCTGGTCCCTAGAAATGAGCCGATCACCTGACTTCATCACCCGGCCCGTACCGGTGAGATCCAGCCGGCCCCAAACAACGGGCACACCACACGCATACAAAGACAACAAGACCACCCTAAGCATGCAGATATGCCATACACACCACGCACACACACACCACACACACACCACACGCACACCACGCATGCACACCACACACGCACACCACACACACACACACACCACACACAGATCCTCAAGGCCACACTACGCATACATCTACACCACAGGGACACGGCACACACCACACACACACCACACACAGCACACACACACCACACACAGACGACAAGACCACACACATACATCTACACCACGGGGACACGGCACACACCAGAGATACATCACATCACACAACTAAGAACACTACACATACACGAAGCGTACACACCACAGAAACATACCACTCGTGCACACCACTCGCACACACTGAACAGATACGTCACATACCTGGGAACGATAACGCATACACACCACTCACACAGCCCTCAGGCACACGACGCACGCACACCAAACAAACCATACACGCACACCACACAAACCATACACGCACACCACACAAACCATACATGCACACCACACAAACCATACACGCACACACGATGCATACACCCAACTCGCGTACACCACACACACAAATCGCACGCACACCATACACACCACTCGTGCACACAAAAACACACACACACCACACACTAAGCATACACACCACTCATCACGCACCACATACGCACGCTATGCTTACTCCACAGAAAAACCACTCAGGTACACAGTGCACACAAACCAAGCAGACACACGACACAGATGCTACAAAACCACACGACAGACACCCCACACAGCCACCCTACGGACGCAGCCACATCTGTATGTGTGCGCGTGAAGGGGTGTACGTATGTAACTGCGTGTATATGTCGGTGCTGTGTGTGCGTGTGGGGAGTGGTGGAGTTAGTGGGAAGTTCACTGCACTACGAACCCCGCGAACGAAGTTCAAACTGGTCCTGGGCCTCCCCAACGTCGACTCAGCCTCAAATGGGTACCTGGTGCGGTGTGTAAACGTCGCCACTTGGGAGACAAAGGCGGGCGTGGTGGTTGCCACCCATCCCCTCGTGTGCCGTAAAGGCCATCATAGGTGCTCGCTAACAGCACTTGCCCCAACAGCCTATTCAGGCTATACCGGGGTCTTTGTTTTGTGTGTAATTGGGAAGCGGGAGTGTAGTGGTTAGCCCGCTGCACTACAATCCAACACCAATGACGAATATCTGAACCGGTCCTGTGCCTCCCCTAGGTCGACCTAACCTAAAGAATGAATGCCAAGTGCGATGTGTAAACATTGCCACTGGGGAAACAAAGGTGGCCGGGCATGGTGCTAGTGATCCACCCCCTCGTGTACCGTGCTGGCCTCGTGCTAACAGCACTTGCCCCAACAGTCTGTTAAGGCTGGACGGGGGATTTTTTTTGTCTTTGTGTGTGTGCGCGCGCTGTGTCTGTGCCGTGTGTATGAACAGTATTTATGTAACTGTGTGTGTAACTGTATGTCCTGTGTGTGTTGCTGTGTGTAACCGTGTGTGCAACAACGGAGGGGAGAGGAGTGACGCTCAAAACAACGAACGGAGCGCTGGGCGGCTAAAACACAAAGTTGGCACAGTAGGGGGCACAGGTTGTGCATCAGCCAGTCATCTCAGTCAACCCATGGCACCTGCTGGGTCTGTCCCGTGACCTCCTGCCACATAGCCTGGCACAAGCGCCGTTGTGACGTCACCGCCATTTAATGGCGGTTGTCGCTGTGTGTGTGTGTGAAACGCTGTGTGGGTGTGTGCGTAACGCTGTGTCTGTGTGTAACGCTGTGTCTGTGTGTGTGCGTAACGCTGTGTCTGTGTGTGTGCGTAACGCTGTGTCTGTGTGTGTGCGTAACGCTGTGTCTGTGTGTGTGCGTAACGCTGTGTGTGTGTGTAACGCTGTGTGTGTGTGTGTGTAACGCTGTGTTTGCGTAACGCTGTCTTTGTGTTTGCGTAACGCTGTGTCTGTGTGCGTGCGTAACGCTTTGTCTGTGTGCGTGCGTAACGCTGTGTCTGTGTGCTTGCGTAACGCTGTGTGTGTGTGCGTGCGTAACGCTGTGTTTGTGTGCGTGCGTAACGCTGTGTGTGTGTGCGTGCGTAACGCTGTGTGTGTGTGCGTACGTAACGCTGTGTGTGTGTGTGCGTGCGTAACGCTGTGTGTGTGTGCGTGCGTAACGCTGTGTGTGTGTGCGTGCGTAACGCTGTGTGTGCGCGTGCGTAACGCTGTGTGTGTTGAACGCTCTGTGTGTGTTGAACGCTCTGTGTGTGTTGAACGCTCTGTGTGTGTTGAACGCTCTGTGTGTGTGTAACGCTCTGTGCGTGTGTAACGCTCTGTGCGTGCGTAACGCTGTGTGTGTGCGTGCGTAACGCTGTGTGTGTGTGCGTGCGTGCGTAACGCTGTGTGTGTGTGCGTGCGTGCGTAACGCTGTGTGTGTGTGCGTGCGTAACGCTGTGTGTGTGTGCGTGCGTGCGTAACGCTGTGTGTGTGTGCGTGCGTAACGCTGTGTGTGCGTGCGTGCGTAACGCTGTGTGTGCGTGCGTGCGTAACGCTGTGCGTGTGTAACGCTCTGTGTTTAACGCTGTGTGTGCGCGTGCGTAACGCTGTGTGTGTAACGCTCTGTGTGTGTAACGCTGTGTGTGTGTGTACGTGCGCGCGTAACGCTGTGTGTGTGCGTGCGTAACGCTGTGTGTGTGCGTGCGTAACGCTGTGTGTGTGCGTGCGTAACGCTGTGTGTGTGCGTGCGTAACGCTGTGTGTGCGCGTGCGTAACGCTGTGTGTGTGTAACGCTGTGTGTACGCACAGAAGGAGGCGATGGCCTTGATGTCGCCCGGCATGTCTGCTCCCCTCGAGTGGATGTTGTTGGGCCCCTTCACGGCCGCCGACGGGAGCCAGCGGGATGACATCGCGGTGCGCCACAGCCTCGACTGCGTGGGGCCACCGGGCCACCCGATGACCCGTTCCCTCGACGGTCCGCGGCGGGACGGTGCGCTGAAGGCTGTGGGCGGCTTCTGGCACGGACCGCCCGGCCCGGCGTCGAAAGTGTCGCCGTGCCCGCCCGTGGTATTGACGCCGGAAGAGCCGCGGCGAGGACCGGTGGCCCGGATGGAATTTCCTTCGGGGGGCAACCCCGCCGAGGTGGCGCCACCCCCCACGTCCCCGCGGCATCGTCGATCGGCGCTCTCCGCTCGCGACGACCCCCGGCACTCGCCGGCGGCCACGGCCGCGGGGGCAGCCGCCCCTCTCCATCTCGAGCTGACGCCAAGCGGCTCGGAACTCGACTCTTCTCGCTCGGCTTTGCTTGCCGCCGGCAACGGATACGGCCCCTCGCCGTACGGCGTTGTAGAGCCAGGTTTCCCCGACTTCACCGACTTTGCCGACTGCGCCGGGAGCTGTGCTGGCGACCACGGCCGCCACCGGCTGAGCTTTGCCGCCGCGACGGCGCCGCGGGGGTCGTCGGCACGGAGCGGCCGTGCCGGGGGAGGCCGCGGCGGGGACATGCAGGAGCACCTCATCAACGTGCACAGCGCCCTGCAGCACGAGGTGGGGGAAGGGGAGGGGGAAAAGGAGCCTTGGGCGACGTTGTCCTCTCCAGATTGTAGTGTTGGGGCAAGGGTGAAGGGGGGGGAGGGTAAGCAGTGGGGCGGGGAGTCGTGTTGCTGTAAATGTTGCGACACGCTCGGGCAGGGCTCTACAATTGCCCGCGGTTGTGGGTTGCCCGTGGGTTAACCGTGGGTGTCCGTGGGTGCCAGTGGTTGCCCATGGTTTTCCGTGGTTAATGGTGGATTGCCCTGGTGTCACCTGCAGCTGCCCCACTTCTTCATGAAGAGGCACAACTTCAAACTCTACTCGTCAAACGTCGTCTTCATTGTCGAGTTCCTCCGTCTCAAGACGAGGTGGGGGTGACACCAGATCTCTCCCCTCTGTCGTGTGCGCGCTGTGCGTACGTTAAACCCCCGTCTCTATCTGCGAGGGGTTCCCGTTCTTGAAAACGTTCGCAAATGCAGAATTCAAAAATGCAGGAACACTGCACCTGTGTGTTTGCGGTGCTGTGTGTGCACTGTGTGTGTGTTGACGACGCCGTGTGTGTTTTTGATGGTACCATGTGTGTGCGCTGTGTGTGTGTATTGACGGTACCGTGTGTGCGCTGTGTGTGTGTATTGACGGTACCGTGTGTGTGCGCCGTGTGTGTGTATTGACGGTACCGTGTGTGCGCTGTGTGTGTGTGTATTGACGGTACCGTGTGTGTGCGCCGTGTGTGTGTGTATTGACGGTACCGTGTGTGTGCGCCGTGTGTGTGTATTGACGGTACCGTGTGTGCGCTGTGTGTGTGTGTGTGTATTGACGGTACCGTGTGTGTGCGCCGTGTGTGTGTATTGACGGTACCGTGTGTGCGCCGTGTGTGTGTATTGACGGTATCGTGTGTGTGCGCCGTGTGTGTGTATTGACGGTACCGTGTGTGTGCGCCGTGTGTGTGTTTTGACGGTACCGTGTGTGTGCGCTGTGTGTGTGTATTGACGGTGCCGCGTTTGTGCGCTGTGTGTGTGTATTGACGGTGCCGCGTTTGTGCACTGTGTGTGTGTATTGACGGTGCCGTGTGTGTGCGCTGTGTGTGTGTTGACGGTGCCGTGTGTGTGCGCTGTGTGTGTGTGTGTTGACGGTACCGTGTGTGTGCGCTGTGTGTGTGTGCGTTTACGGTACCGTGTGTGTGCGCCGTGTGTGTGTTTTGACGGTGCCGTGTGTGTGCGCCGTATGTGTGTGTGACGGTGCCGTGTGTGTGACGGTGCCGTGTGTGTGCGCTGTGTGTGTGTGTGTTTACGGTACCGTGTGTGTGCGCTGTGTGTGTGTGTGTGTTTACGGTACCGTGTGTGTGCGCTGTGTGAATGTATTGACGGTGCCGTGTGTGTGCGCTGTGTGAATGTATTGACGGTGCCGTGTGTGTATTGATGGGGCTATGTGTGCTGCGTGCGTGCCTTCCTTGCGCAGAGGCGTGGTGCTGTACCAGCTCTCCCTCTCGCTGCTGAACCTCCTCTACTCCCTCTACTTCGTGGACGCCCAAATGGAGGTGCTCAGCCTCACGCGCCACGACGACAGCGCCAGCGTGCAGGCGCGCTGGCGCCTGCGGGGGCTGCCCTTCCACGTCTTCCTGCTGCGGTTCTACCGCCGCGACAAATCCACGCTCTACAGGTGCTCGACGCTCGTTACGGGGCGGCGAGATGTTAACAACCTCACCCTGACGATGCCTGTCGTCTATTTGGAGTCTGCGTGTTCTCTCTCTCTCTCGCCCTGTGGTCGCGTGGGTTTCTCTCTAGGTCCTCCGGTTGTTCCCACCACATTGAGAATCATCGTGCGTTTACGTATGTCTACATGTTGAACTTGTTTCGCACCGCACGGAGCCAACCTTGGTAATCGGAGGTTCGGAGTATTTGGCTCCTGCTTTAAATTTCCACATGATGAGCCACTTCATTGAGCGATCATTTGTGGTCCAGGTCACTTCTGAAAAAGAGCTACATAGCTCGGTGGGCATTACTTGGTAAAATTAAAAATAGTTTATAGTCAAAGCTAACGAGCTGGCGCAAGGGGGTGAGGATGGTGACGTGAGGTCGCACTCGATGAGGGTTGTGCTGGCGACGTCACGTCGACATCGCGTCGCCAACGTAACATCGACGTGACGTCGGCGGTTGCGTTGTTCTCGTTGCTTGGGGTGATGACCCCAACGGTGGCGCGTTCGCTGCTCGTTGCGGAGGTTTCACGGTTTGACTCCGGCAGGCCGTCCCGGTTCATGCCGCGGTCGCGCCGTTTACCGCGAGATGCCCGCACGCCGCCCGCTTCACCCTGCAGCGGACGTCAGCGGATCCCGAAAGGATAAAAAATTTACGAGCTTTATATAGCCCCCGGCAAGAATATAGGAGGTGTTTAAGGAGGTGTTTAAGATATTCAGACGCCAAATAAACACCCATCGCAAGGCATCGAGCCTGCATGCTTCTGGTAAAACATGCAAACAAATGTGCTTTGATAATAATGGACACATTGTCCTCGGAACCGATTGACCGACACCATAGACGGCCTCCTTAATGGCCTTGTTTCACCAGCGGTGTTAGACCAGAGAAGGCCAAAGGGCACAAACACGACGCAAAGCATTAATGGCTCGGGTAGGGCGGTTTAATATACGGGACTATGTATTTTAACATTTAACACCTGTATTCTTGCCAGAAAAAGTTAAAGCCGATTACGTTTTATTCATTATCTTGTTACCGGTGGCAACAAAGGAGTCCGCATAGGTTACAGATCCTAAAAGAACGCTTGGCCATCGTGCCAAATTGTAAAAATGACTCCGCAAATCACTCGGTTGGGATCGCACGCAGCAGCAGCAGCGGGCAACAATCATCGCCCTCTAACCACGGAACCACCGCAGCCTGCGTCTCACTGCCGCGGTGGCGCCTTCCTACGTCACCGTCGGCCCGTCGCTAGGGGAAGGATTGCGCCCCTCGCCACGCTCGCGGTGTACTCCCATTTTATTGTTTTTTTATCCGTTGCTGTGTGACGCGCACAGGTACTATGATGCACACTCCACCTTCTACGTGGGGCCAGACGGACTCATACACTGCCACAAGGTGGCCAAGGTGAGAACGAGTTTGCAATGGCCAGCCTCCCTCGCTCCAACTCGCTCTCCCTCGCTCTCACTCGCTCTGCCTATTTCCTCCATCCTCCTCTGCCTACGCCTCCCGTCTTCTCCCCGTGTCCTCCCTCCCTCCCCTGTGTAGTTGTCTGTCTGTGTGTGGGGAGCGGTAGTGTAGCGGTTCGCGCGCCGCGCTACGAATCCGACGACCCGGGTTCGGTTCCCGCTCACGGCCACAACACCAGTGATGATTATCTGAACTGGTCCTGGGCCTCCCCTAGGTCGACACTGCCTCAAATGAGTACCTGGTGTGATGCGTAAACATCGCCACTAGGGAGACAAAGGCGGTCTGGCGTGGTACTGGCCACTCACTCCCTCGTAAACCGTTCTGGCCATAAGTGCTCGCTAACAGCACTTGCCCCAACAGTGTTCAAGGATAGAGGGGGGTCTTTGTCTGTTGTGTAGTAGTGTGTGTGGGGGGCAGTATTGTAGTGGTTAGCATTAGGCCTCGGCAAGGTAAGGTAAAAGGTAAAAACAACGAGCCTATCTTTACCCTACCTTTTACCTTACCACAATACAATCACTCTACCCTACCTTTTACCCTTACCCCATACTAATTACCCGATTACAGGGTAATTACTGGGGTACTACACATGAAAAAGGTTTACAACAGGTAAATGTTAGGTAGAGCGCTTTATTCCTCTATAGATATAAAAGGGAAATTTGTGAATGTGTGTCTGTTCGAAATGTTTAGCATATTTCCCGACATGCAACAAACTTGAAATTTGACACGTGGGCAGCTTCCAGACTGTACACAATGTAAAAAGTATAAAATTAGACTTTTATATTTTGGGGAAGGGGGGGGGGCAATAATGCATATATTTTGCACGGCAAGTGAGCGGTGACGTCACATCTGTGATGTCACCCGCACGCGGCAGCGTCACGCAGTGTGCCTGCTGACGTCACGCATCCCCCCCCCCACCCTCCGCGTAGGCCGTGTGTTAATCCAAGACAAGAATCCAAGTCGCGGGCGAAGCCGGGTAGTCAAGCTAGTCTAGAATACTCTCGATTCCAATTTTAAATGGAGGCCACGGACTGCGCCACGGAGCTTTTAGCGAGCGGTAATCAAGGTATTTACCGGGTAAATACTTTGCGCTACCTTTACCCTACCCTTTACCTTACCCCTTGGCATGGCGCCACCTTTACTCTTTTACCCGGTAAAAAGGGTAAATTACCCTACCTTGCCGAGGCCTAGTTTGCACGCTGCGCTACGAACCCAGGGACCCGAGTTCGATCCCGCTCACGGCCAATATCAGTCATGATTATCTGAACCGGTCCTGGGCCTCCTCTAGGTCGACTCGATCTTAAATGAGAACCAGGTGTGGTGTGTAGTAAGCATGGCCACCTACCACTTAGTGTGTTGTGCTGGCCTCTCTAGGTGCTACTTGCCCCAACAGTCTGTGAAGGCTATGGGTCTGTGGGGGTCTTTGCATGTGCACGTGTGTGTGTATATATATTAGGGTAAGCCCTGCAGAAGTACGAAAGAAACAAACAGCAGACGAGGGCTGTAGACATGATCCGGCAAAACACTGTTTGCGCTGGGTGGGACACGTGCAGGGTGGGGAGGATAGTGTCAGCAACTTGGAGGTTGAGGAAGAGTGTGGCGGGTGAGTGGCAGTGATGCGATTGAGCAGGATGGATGAGAGTCGATTGGTGAGCCCTGGTATCATAGGAGCAGTCTTCACGGGTCCCGCGACCGAGGGGAAGAGCAGGCCTAAGAGCAGATGGTGGGAGACTGATAAGCCAAATCTGTGGGTCTCGTGTGAATCAATGAGTCTTTATACGATAAGTCTATGGCCTTGTAAAAAATCTAGATCTGAGTGTCTCTTCCTCAGTCTGGAGAGGTGGTGGAGGAGGTGTGGTGGAGGTGGCATCGCAGGCTTTGCCCACGATGACATGTCCGTATGTGTGCCTGCACCCCAGCTGATGCCGGTGAACCCCACGGAGCACAAGCTGACTGGGCTCACCCTGGGGGTGCTGGGGGCGCTGGGGCTGCAGGAAGAGCGGCCGGCACTCAGCTTCCTGACCCCGCTTCTGGCGCCGCTCACTCGCGGCCCTTCCTGCCCCTCCGTCTGCTGTTCCTCCTCCTCCTCTCCACCGCCATCCTGCGCCAGCGCCGGACACTCATGAGCGCAGCGGTCACCGGCTTCCTCTCGCGGGCGCACACACGTGCGCACTCGCTCATACACTCGCACACGTGCACACACACATACGTGCACACATACGCGCACACACACACGTGCGCACTCGCTCATACACGCGCGCGCACACATACGCGCGCACACACATACGCGCGCACACACATATGTGCACGTGACACACAAAGACCCCCATATAGCCTGAACAGACTGTTGGGGCAAGTGCTGTTAGAGAGCACCTATGAACACCACGCCTGACCGCCTTTGTTTCGCAATGTATTTACACACCGCACCGGATACTCATTTGAAGCTGAGTCAACCTAGGGGAGGCCCAGGACCGGTTAAAGATAATCATCACTGGTATTGGCCGTGAGTGGGAATCGAAATCAGGTCACCGGGTTCATAGTGCAGCGCGCTATCAGCGAATCGGCTACACTACCGCTCCCCATAATGATCTACTTGGCACACGAGTACAACACATATACTCGTATGCAGCCTCGTGTCACATGCGTCAAAATATTTTTCCCAATCGTACAAGTTCATGTACGGTGGGCCCGCTTGGGTTCCTGCAGCCACCAGAGGCACTACCATTCACCACAATATTAAAACGTGAATCAGTTCTTGAATGGTATTGGTTGTCAACATCGGAACCGGTTTTCAACATCGGAACTGGTGAAAGGAAGGTGGGTGGTGTTAGCCAGACTCTTTGAGCACTGTGCAGACCGCCTTAATTGGTACTCACTAACAACACCTGCTCCAGAACTATGGAGGTTAAAACTGAGGATCTTAATTGTGTACGTCATACGCTGAGTTGAGGCGCAGCCACGAGTGACTTGTGACCAGAACGTTATTTATGACTGAATATTTGCCGGGTCACTGGTAGCCGCAGCCGATAGCGCCAGGCTATGTGCACCTTTTATTTAACCGTTAATGTTGCAGGACTGATTTAGGCCGAGGTGCCTGTCGCCCCCCCCTCCGCCCTACCCTCTTGCTTGGATGCCACAACCCAGGGAGCTCACTCGAGCCAAGCAGGATGTCGAGGCGAGGATTTGCGGCCTGCTTAAGCCGTGGAAAATTAAGAAGTTGAACGTGTCGTGGGAGGCCGACGTTTATGAATGAATGTAAAATCGTGAAGTTAGTTTCCTTGAACGATAAAATAGTGTTGCCAGTGTCGTGATCCTAAATTTAAAAAGGGGCAAAGTGATTTTCTGCTTAAATGAGCTTTGAGGCTTTGGTGGAAAATTCCACATTCTCATGGCGGGTGCAAACCCATTCACAGGGAGGGGAGAGAAAAAAACGATGACTTCTCCACAAAGTTGTAGATAATTTTATCCACCCCAGAGTGAGGGATGGGCTGAGTCAACAACCAGGATTCGAAACTCTCGACCTACCCACTCGCCCGCCTGCCCACCGCTCCGATGTCCTGTAGAGACACGGCTGCTCCTGACGGGAGGCGACAAAAGCCATGTGACCTGGTAACGGCCAATCGCAGCGCAGCTCTTGCATTGTCACTTTATAATCTAAATCGGCTCAAGCCTCCCGCAAACCACGCGGCTTCCGTGTGGTTACCCCCACACTGAATCCCCTCTCATCTATATATCTCCAAGCTTAAAGCCTCCCGTAAACCACGCGGCTTCTATGAATGGTCAACATCATTCTGAATTGTCCCCCTCTCCCCGTCGTCCGCCGTGTAAATGGACGCTGCTCCTCTGTTCCGTGGGGCATCAGCCGCGTCGAGGTCTTCGTGTAGCCCCTTCCGATCCATCCTCACCTCTCCTGACCCAATGCTCCAGTTTCTCCCTTTCCCATTTCCCCCTTTGGTCTCGATTCTTTCCAACCTCCACGTTACCCACCTGACTCCACTGCCCTTCACCTGGTGCTTGCGGCCCACAACAATTTACCGGGTCAGGCGAAGGTGTGCGTGTGCGCACGTTTATGTAGATGCATAAATTATAATCAGTGATTGATTAAGTTCACAAGGCGCACAGGGTATCGCACACAGGTGTAGGTAATCGATTTTCATCGTGACCCCCCCTCCCTCCCTCCAACCGCTATAGGCCGCCATAGCATTCACTGCAATGCTCTTCTTGAATCGAATCGCGACAAGGAATCATGACAGTTGACGGGGGCGAGTGGTCGGACCCGGGGTGGGGTCTCAGACTTGTCAGCCGGGGGTACACGCCAGGCGTGGAGATGCGTTCGGGGTTGCTGGTATGGTAGTTGGGAGTGCAGGCGTCACTTGACCGCAGGTGGTGACCCACCCCCCAGAGACAGGATATGTTTGTATGGATGTTGAACTTCTTTCGCACCGACGTACGTAGCCACCGTGCGAAGCGGAGGTGCGGGGGAAAGGACAACAAACTAAACGCACAAAAAATACCGGACGTTGGGAGGTTGCAGGATGTAAAATATTTTTGGAGTCGGTCGACCCAGGACCGGACGCGACTGAGATGAAGCCCTCCGCCGCCTTCTGTTCGCTTGGAGGTCGACGAAGCGGCCGCAGGGAAGCGTGCGAGCCGTGCGATTCGGTGATGAGAGGAAGACCAGCCCGGCCACGCTCAACTGACTCGCGAGGGCGCGTTTATTTTACAGGCGTGTTGCGTGGCGGTGTTATTTTGTTTTTGCCCCTTTTGCGACTTGCACCGTGTTGTGGTTTTTTAGCGATGGACGTTAAAGCCATTGGCAATGTTGTCGGGAGTGACGCGCGGGGTCCCCTCGTGATCATGGACTGGGGCTTCGTTTAACGGCCGTGGTCGGAGACGCCTTGAGATGCTGGGTTCACAATGGCCATGTCGGTGATTCTGTATCGGATGATTGAACTGGCACCACTGATATCCAGGGTTCTAACCCTTGGGCCCTGTGGTTGTCTATGTCTTGAGATTCGCAATTTCCATGTCGGTGATTCTGTTTCAGATTATTTAACTGACACCACATATCCTGGGTTCAAACCCGGGATCCAAAGTGTCTATTTTGAGATTTGCAATGGCCATGTCGGTGATTGTGTCAGAGAGAGAGAAAGAGAAATACTGACCCAGCACTCCAGTGATCCAAGCGTTAGGTCGATCTCCCTCATCGGGTCCTTCATTGCCACGTCGGATACACGGAGCCAACAATCCCCGAGAAGATCGGAGTTGATGACCTGACTGGCTGTCTCGCCAGGATGGCCACTTGGCCATGATCTACGCTCTGACAGCATTAAGTTGTAGCTCCTTGGCAGCCATCGGAAGTTGTGCCAGGCCCAGCACGAGCGCGTGTGTGTGTGTCGAGGTTCAGTGTTGTCTGTGGCTACGTGGGGTACCGTTTGTAAATAATAAATGCACACGGGTGGGTGGGGGCTGTGGCGCACGGTGCGGTGGAGCGCCCTCCGTGTGAACGTCGCTCATGAACGTTCGTGGTGTAAACTGTTCAGCCAGCCGAGTGTTTCTGACGGGACAGGTGTTAAGATGTTCAAAACTAAAACATGTTTTTCTTTTACCAGGTTAAGGCCTTACTGAGCTATGTGGGTCTTTTTCAGAAGCGACCTGGCTGTCAGAAATGATAGCTCAAGGAATTGGCTTATCATCATCACGTGGAAATATATAGCAGCAATATACTCTCAACGCGTGATGTTGATTCTGAATGTGGAGGGAACAACCGGAGGACCCGGAGAAAAATCCACACGACCACGGGGAGAGCGAGAGACCTGCAAATTCCAAATACACAGCAGCAGGCGTCGGGTCGGGATCGAACCTACGACCTGTATACCAGGCGAGGTAGTTAACATCTCCTAGCCACCGTGCCGCCCGTTCCTCTTGATACCGACAAAAAGGGTCCCAAATGTGCCACCCGAACTATTAATGCTGTGACATTTGCGGTGACTTTTGTGTTGGTCGCCTTTTAGTGGTGTTCTCTGGTCAAACACTGGTGGTGAGACAGGACCATAGAGGAGGCTGTCTGGTGTCAAGGACAATGCATACATGATTATCATCGGAGCATGTTTTACCACAAGCGTGATGTGTGGTTAATGCAGACTTGATGCCTTGCGATTGGTGTCTATTTGGTCCGTTTAACACGTAGGCTTTCGTGACCAATATCCATAATAGAGGTTTAAAAAAAAACTCTTATGGATGTCTTTTTGGTGTTTGAACATCTTAACGCCTGTGTTATTGCTGGAAGGATGAAGCATATTAATGTTTTATCGGCTTGATACGGGTGGCAACAAAGGCCCCATTGATCCGAGCGTTTGTAATTGGAGGAGTCGTGACGGTGAGCGGACGGTGACGATGACTACGGCCACTGCGCTACCAACACCATCAACAATCCCATCATCAGTCATTGTCGCTCCCAACACCATCATCAATCATCGTCACTTACCACCACCATCACGACCACCACCATCTGACCATCACTGCTACCAGCGCTACCACCAATGTCTTCACGACCATCACCACCGCCGTCACTCATAATTTCTACCACCACCACAATCACTACCACCATCATTGCGACAATTGTCACTACCACCATCATCACGACTATCATGATCATTACCAATACCACCATCATCACTGCCACCACCACAACTACCCCAGCCATCACTACCATCATGATGACTACAATCATCATGACCACCGTCGTCATGGCCACCACAGATACCCCAACTATCATCACTACAAGCTCGACCACCATCCGGGCCGCTAGGCTGACTGCCTGCCACAGACCGGACGGGACGAGGTGGACAGCCGCAGCGAAGACGCGGCTTGGGGTCTCTTGTCGTCGCGCCGAGAAAGGCCAGACGCGTGACACGTGGATCCGTGTGCGCATATAAACGGGTTTATCGAGGTCACCCAGAGGCCCAGGTTGCCGTTTGTGACCTTGAAGCGAGTCGCTGCGCCACCCGCTGCTCGAGCCGTCGCAGAGGGAGGGTGGCTCCGTGAAGCCTGCGCACGGAGGTAGTCGTCTACGGGACGGGGCTACGGCAAAAACAACAACACTCCCTACATCAGGGGTGGGGAACGTCCGGCCCGCGGGCCGTATAAGGCCCGCGAAATCATTTGGTGTGGCCCTGCCAAGGTAACCGCAGGCGGGACTCGAAATTCAATAAATCTGGGAGCAAACCTGGAAAAGCAGTTGCGAGTAGCAACATCATCAATACCAGCTAACATCGCTCGCCTCACCAAAGAGAAGCAGTTCCAGCCGTCACATTAGGGGTGAGTTAATTAAATATTTGATCAAATATAACAGGCTAATTTTTTAGTTGATAATTTTGTATGGCCCGCGAATGATATAAATATTCAAATGGCCCTTGGCAAAAACAAGGTTCCCCACCGCTGCCCGACATGAACGCCGAGAGAGGTTCTGGAGCTCTCCGTGACCGAGGGTGATGCAAAACTGCACCCCCCCCCCCCAATCTCTCCCCCCCCCCCCCCCCCCGGTTTAGGAATGTGTCAGGGGGTGCCTGCGAGCCTTCGCACCCCAAGTAGGAAGAAGCTGTTACGTTTGCGCGGAGTCGGCCGTTGCGCGTTTGGCCGCGAGCCTTGGGAGGGTCGGACGCGGACGAGTTCTCGTAGATCTAAATCCGGGGTGAGGAACCTGTATAGGCCGTGGGGCCAGACCCGCCGCTTCGTTTCACGCAGCCCTACCGCCACACGAGGTCGACACCACCGCTTCACGAAACTGGGGCCGCACGCCGCATTTGTTTGTCCGTGCCGACACGCGGCAGTTGAAACGGTGGCCCTGCGAGTTTCTCAAATCCATCGCCCCCGCCTCTACGCACCCAGCGGTGTGGACGGGTTTCACACCGGTGGCTCTCCAGGCCGTGTGCGATGGGAGTAACGCGCGGGCGGCACTCCCCCCCCCCCCCCCCCCCCGCTTCGTCCCAAGAGATCTGGCCAGCGTGGAAGAGTAGGCTAAAATATACCTCCCGGTGGGGGCGCTCCTGAGCTCTCTCCAGTGAAGACCCGGCAGCAGTGGCCGTGAGCAGGACATTGCAGGGTTGCGCCTTTGCCAGAGACCTGCGGGTTGCGTCACAGCCGAGTGGACTCGGTGGTTGGGCGCGAGAGGGCCCCGTGCGGTGCCCCGCGAGGAGCCGGGGAGCCGGGGAGCCGCCCGGCGCGTGCCGGATGGACGCTCCTCGAGGCGGGGGAGATGCGCGGCTGTGGGGAGGCAGTGGTCCGTGTCTTGCCGTCGCTTTTACAATCGAGAGAGATTTGTTTACACACCGGTCGTTTTTGTTTGTTGTGCACTGTATGTACAAATATGCACACACGCGCGCATACGTAGCACACGTACACACGTAAGGCAAAGATCGGCTATATAGCCTTAACTATAGGGGGCAAGGGTGCTGTTGGCGAGTATCACCTATGAAGGCCGGCACGGTACACAAGGGTGGCCAGCACCCACTCTCATGCTGCACACACACAGATCCCCTCTGTAGAATACACGCACCGTTGGAGCAATTGCTATTTGCGAGCACCTATTAAAGCCGTCACTGCGCACAAGGATGGTGGTGGGACTGGCAACCACGGCCAGCCGCCTTCGTTTCCCCAATGCTGATGTTTACACGCCATGTCAGGTACTCACTTGAGGCTAAGTCGTCTTACGGGAGGCACGTGACAGGTCTATATATTTATCACTCATCACGGATCACGGATGTCGTCACAGCTGGGATCTAACAGGTCGCCCGTGTTCACCAGCCACTTCGTCAAGCCGGGTTGACTCGTTACGGCTGGTTGGCTGGTGAAGGTTCGAGCTCGTGGTTGGATAGCTAGTGAGGGCGAGTGGTTGGATAGCTAGTGAGGGCTAGTGGTTGGATAGCTAGTGAGGGCGAGTGGTTGGATAGCTAGTGAGGGCGAGTGGTTGGATAGCTAGTGAGGGCTAGTGGTTGGATAGCTAGTGAGGGCGAGTGGTTGGATAGCTAGTGAGGGCTAGGGATAGTGGTTGAAGGTTGGCGCTCGTGGCTGGTTGGCAAGTGAGGGCTCGGGCGAGTGAGGGTTAGGGCTAGTGGTTGGTTGGCTGATGAGGGTTAGTGGCTGGTTGGCAAGTGAGGGCTCGGGCGAGTGATGGTTAGGGCTATTGAGGGTTGGGGCTAGTGGTTGGTGAGGGTTAGGGCTAGTGATTGGTTGGTTCGCGTTAGTCGTAATGTTCGTGTTCGGTTTGCTGGGTGGTTATCCTTGGACAAAATAAACCCACATACTACATCACCAGAACGAGGACCTGGGGCTGGGTGGCAAAACAAACTCCAGCTGGGCATTGGCATCAGGGGTCATGGTGGAGTCGCGGCGCGTGGAGGCCTCTACCACGCACCACCTCCGTTGAGATTTGGCATCTGGTGCTGCACAGACAAAACAATGACTCGACACGTTCAGTGTCAAGAACAACAAAAGC